CATCCCCCCAATTCCCCAATAAAAATCTTTAAAAAAAAAAAAATACTCCCCCTCGCTCGAACACACAATGCAACTAAAAACACTCACAAAAGAGGACTTCCAGAACTGCCTCAGAGAAGTGGCAAGAACGATGGGATGATGAGTGTGTTCGAAGTGAGGGGGAGTATTTTGAGGGGGATTAATGGCAATGTGTCTTTTACTGTAATACATTTTTATTTAAAGATTCCCCATATTTTGTGATCACACCTCACCGTAGTTCACAAAGTATTCAAAGTAGATTTTCGCCCCTTAGGCAAACAAGTCCTTATGCTGTTTGGAAAATAAGTATTAATTCATAGAGCAAGTGCTCTACTGCCAAAAGTGAACTGTTAATCCATTCTTTTTAAAGACATTTGGCTGAAAGTTAACATATAGCACTTAGTATCTGATACAATCTCACTTTCTACTCATTTTGAAAACATGTGATTCAATCTCTGTTAGAATGACAAAAATAAAAAATTCAACTACATTATCATAGGAATAAATTTAGTATTTCACAGATGATAAAAAATTTTTAATTTTATTGCAGGAATGTCTATATAGTTAATTGCTGAACAGCCCAATGTGATAGAATTGACCATGAAAAAATGATTATCATTAAAAAAAATCATCCAAAGATATATTCTATTCCAAATAAACTCAGTCTCTTCTTCACAGTATTACTGACAGATAAGACATGATTAAAAGATTCTCTTAAGAAATAATAACATGATTTCAGTAGTTCAGGTAATTAGGGGAAAAAAGCGTTAATACAGATCCAAAAATTCTCTTTCTGAAAGCTCTTATTTCTAAAAGAGTTTCATATTTCAAAATTTGGAGATTTTAAAAAGGTTGGTTAGTGCCTATGTGTAAGATGTCCAAGATGGGGGGTAGCATCCTGTAATCAAACACATACACATTTCTGCAGTAAAACGTAAGTACTCATTAGCACTAAATGGAATAATGAACAATTATAAAGAGCCTCATGTTAGTTCAGGCTAGGTTTTGCTACCAAGAAGTACAAAAGACTCTCCATTTTCAATCATTCTGGGTTTTGAAATCATGGGAGGGAGATGGTGGGCTTGTATAACGACTCCATTTAAAAACTAATGTAAAATGTTTTATGACAACAGTATTTTTAAATCCCAATATGACTGCTTTTATGTCTTAGGCAGCAAATACTTAGGACAGTCTAAGGAAAAGGACTCTATGAATACTGTCATCATATTTTCTGTCCCCACTCCCACTGCCTACTGATTTGAGACCGAATGCCACATTAGTAATAATAGCAAAAGTGTACCTGCATCAGATTGAATCTTGCCACCTCATTAATAGGAGCATCAGAAATTATTCCATACTGTTCGGGATTGACAACTGCAGGACAGATGAAGCAGGCCAACAGCAGATCCGTACACATTGCCCTAACCTCCCCAACTTCCAGTCTATCTACACAGGAGAGAGTTTTGTACATCTGTGACACAATCCACCTCAAGCTATGTGGAAAGCAGTATGTGTTCTGTTTGAGATAACCAATAAACTTGTTCACCAAAGCCACTAGTTTGGCCTCATTGGAATCCACCATCTCCTGAACCTTTTGCCTGAATCTATCTGAGCCCTTTTCGCCAAAGAGTTTTTCCTGTTGAGATGGGGAGAATCTCTCAATTAGCTTATTTGGATCTGTTTCCAGGTGGTCTTCGTCTTCCACGAGCAGTTGCATGATTGGCTCATGTAAAGTTGCTGTGAGGAAAAGTTTGGCAGAAAACAGTCCTTCAGAAAAAAGTTTAAATAAGATGCTGAAGGCACAGGTTCCTCTCCTCAAAAGTCGCCTGGGGTTGTCACTTTCTTTAAGTTCAAATTCAATCAAGTATCTCAAAACCTGAAGGAGGTAGCTTTCATCTTCTTGCATAATGCAGTTGCCATAGAGAGAGGTAAAAACTGTGTAAATAACACTTTGTGTGTTCTCCTGATTAAGTTTCTCTCCAGCAACCAGAGAGGAGGCAATAAGACGAGGATTTTCCCTTAATCGACTCAGGAACTCTCCATAAGCAGTCTCCTGAAATCCCAACTGCTTGTATCCATCAACAAACTGTGTATCTTCCAAAATCTTGGCATGTTGGCAACATTCAGCAGGGGAAGCTTCAGCACTAAAAAATGAGCAAACAAACAAAATAATAAAATTAACAACAATAATAATATAACACGAATACTATACTGTAACATGGGATGTGAGCTGATTATAGTCCCAGCAATGAGATCACTCTGATTTGCTAAAATCTTTTAAACCAACAGTATCTGAACGTGTAAAGAAAGAAAAAAAATTCAAAAAGTACAAAGAAGGACAAATTCCTCATATTAAATCAGGTTCAATGAAAAGTACCAAGAAGTAACCATTATTCTGATTTCTATCATCAGATTGGTCCTGTCTCTTTCTGAACTTCATATAAATGGAATCATATAGTATTAATAGGTACTCTTCTGTGTCTGGCTCCTTTTCTCAACATTATACCTTAGCACTACTACAACTCTTACAGTTAAAAACTGTCATGGGGGGCGGCAGGGTGGCTCAATTGATTAAGAGCGCAAGCTCTGAGCAACAGGGTCACCGGTTCGATTCCCACATGGGCCAGTGAGCTGTGCCCGAGCTGAGCTGCTGCTGAGCTGCCAACAGGTGGCAGGATGGCTCAGTGGTTGGAGCATGCGCTCTTAGCAACAAGGTTTCCAGTTTGACTCCCACATGGGATGGTGGCTACGCCCACCTGCAACTAAGACTGAACATGACACCTTGAGCTGAGTGGCCCCCCGAGCTGCCGACGGGCGCCTGGAAGGTGACTGTACTTGGAGCTGAGCTAGCTGCGCCCTCCACAACTAAGACTGAAAGACAACAACTTGGCTGTTCCTCTTCACCCATTTCCCAACTCTGTACCCCTTTCCCAATTCCCCAATAAAATCTTAAAAAAAAAAAAAATTGCTTCATGGAACAAGAGAACAATGAAGTATTAACACTGAAAAATGATGTTTCTAAAACTGAAAAGTAGATCTACAATAGCAAAACATGGAAATGTATATATTAAATTATATTAGGAGAAAAGCAGAACACAAGATCATTTATTCTCTACAATAAAAAGTATTATGTACAAAGAATACAAAATTAATTGGTGCAATTGGTATAAAATATTAATGCTTAAGTTATAATTCTCTGTAACAGTGTTTAACTGATTTAATAAAATAACACTCACCTTAATGTTGATTTAAACTATCTTAAATGAAGCACTTTGTTGGAAATATTCATTTATTTACAATTAGCACAGAATCACAAAATTATAAAATTTAAGACTTCAAAATCTTTTCTTTACCTGGTTATGATAAGTCGATCCAAATTAATTCTCTGTTGCTTAGCAATCCATGCTGTACGATACAACTTTTCAGCTGTCTTAAGTACATCTGCATTGAGCCTCTGAATGAGCTGTTTCTCAGAGTTCACATATAAGCGTTCCTGTTTGAGGTGATGGGCCAGAGTATGAATATCTAGCTTCACCATCTTCAAATGTGGAAAAGGTACAAAGGTTGATCACTAAGAGTAAAAAGACAAAAATTTAAAAATTCTATGTGACTGAAATTATTTTCCAAAATCAAAAAGGGTGAGAACACATTAAGAATGAAGCTACATTTAATAGCATGGTTAACTCTAATTTTAAAATAATCTACATATTTTTTAATTACAGAAGCATTACAGGTTCAGTATAGTAAAATTGGTAAATACAGATAACCAAAAATAAAGGGCGGGGAGGGGGAGCTCCTAATAAGGCCACTGCTCAGAGACAGCCACTGCAAAAACCCTGTGCATATCCTTCAAGTTCAGTGTCCACTTATTAACACTGGAGTTTCCTTGGCTGCTCTTACACATTGCAATCAATCAACATATTCTGTTGACTCTTATCGTCAAAACACATCTCAAATCTGACTGCTCACCGCCTCCATCATCTGTCACCCGAAGGTCTAAAGCCACCACTTCCTAACTGATCTCCCTGCTTCCCTTCGTGTACTACTCGAGTCTGCTCTCTACATAGCACACAATGTACTTCACCCTTCAGTCAGATCACTCTCTTTCCCGACTAGAAATAGTCCAAAGCCTCTGCATTTGCTAATCCCTCTGTCTGGAAGGCTGTTTGTTCCTCCAGATATCTTCATAAGGCTAGTACCTTTACTTCATTCACAATTCTCTGCTCAAATGTTTATTTAGGAAGGCCTTCTCAAATAACTCTTTCTAAAATAGAAAATATCACTTCCTATTCCTCTCCTGGCCTTTTTTTTTAAAGCACTTGCCCCCATTAGCATTATATTACAGATATCTACTTGCATGTTCATTGTGCTTAGAGTGTGGCTCCCCCACTAAAAGGTAAGGGCCACCGGGGCCAAGGCTTGACTGTTCAGTTCACTCTCAGCTGAAATTTCAGGGCTGAGGAGAGGGCCTGGTTCACAGCAGGACTTGAATAAATATTTGCCAAAGGAATGAATGATATCACACAATTCTTGTTTATCTAGTAGCTAAACAAACTGATTAAAATAGCACACATATTTTAAAGCATTATTAGTTAAGATATACCCTTGAACCTAGAATGCCTGCCAAACTACAAATATTTTATATCAACAACAGGAGGGTCTTTGGCCCAGATAACAGAATACAACGTTGTGTCCAGACAGCAGGCAGTCATTAAGTTAGAAAAATACTTCTCATTAAGAATTAAACATTATG